ATAGTCCTCTGCCTTTTCATCTTGTCTACCTTTCTGTGAATGTGGTTTTTGTTCCACAGGCTGCAGGACTGTAGTTCTTCTTGCTTCTGCTGTCTGCCCTCTGGTGGATGAGGTTATCTAAGAGGCTTGTGCAAGCTTCCTGATGGGAGGGACTAGTGGTGGGTAGAGCTGGGTGTTGCTCTGGTTGGTGGAGCTCAGTAAAACTTTAATCTGCTTGTCTGCTGATGGGTGGGGTTGAGTTCCCTCCCTGTTGGTTGTTTGGCCTGAGGGGACCCAGCACGGGAGGCTATAGTCTTTTTGGTGGCACTAATGGCAGACTCCAGGAGGGCTCATGCCAAGGAGTACTTCCCAGAACTTCTCCTGCCTGTGTCCTTGTTCCTGCAGTGAGCCACAGCTGCCCCCCGCCTCTGCAGGAGACCCTCCAACAGTAGCAGGTAGGTCTGGTTCAGTCTCCTTTGGGGTCACTGCTCCTTCCCCCGGGTCCTAATGCACACACTACTTTGTGTGTACCCTCCATGAGTGGAGTCTCTGTTTCCCCTAGTTCTGTCGAAGTCCTGCAATCAAATCCTGTTAGCCTTCAAAGTCTGATTCTCTGGGAATTCCTCCTCCCATTGCCGGACCCCCAGGTTGGGAAGCCTGACATGCGGCTCAGAACCTTTACTCCAGTGGGCGGACTTCTGTGGTATAACTGTTCTCCAGTTTGTGAGTCACCCACCCAGTGGTTATGGGATTTGATTTTATTGTGATGGCGCCCCTCCTACTGTCTCACTGCGGCTTCTCCTTTGTCTTTGGATGTGGGGTTTCTTTTTTGGTGAGTTCCAGTGTCTTCCTGTCGATGATTGTTCAACAGTTAGCTGTGATTCTGGTGCTCTCGCAAGAAGGAGTGCACGTCCTTCTATTCTACCATCTTGAACGAATCCCTACATGTATTAGTAGTTTTAATCTTTACCCAATCTTGTAGACAAAAGAGAGGATCCCTGGCTTGCCCAAGGTTGAAACAGCCAGTAATGACAGAACCAGTAATGACAGCTGGCCAGGCAGCTGGCTCCAGAGTTCATGTTCTTAACTAGCTTAAGTAGGGCTTGGCTGGATTCAGGGGTTGAAACAGTGCTGTGAGACTGCTTGGCTTGGCTTGCATCTCAGAGCTTCCTTCCTAAGGTGGGCTCCTCTGTGTGTCTCCATGGTGACAAGCCCACACGGACCTCAGACAGGTCTTCCCAACAGCTCTAGCCTAAGTCCTGGGGACTGACAGGTCTGGTCTGGGTCATGTGCCCTCTCCTAGGGCAGGGTCAGCCTCCTGAGAACACTGCAGGACTGCTATAGAAGGGAGAAAAAGTGTTTTCTCAGAGGAAGGGATGTCTACACCAAAGACCAGGGTTAATTGTGACCAAGGGTCAAAGTGAAAACTGGGTAATGGAATTCCTATGTCGACGAAAATAATCAATAAACAATCAATAATTAGAAAAGAGTTTTATTTGCGCCAAACTGAGGACTAGCCCAGAAGCCTGGTTCCCAGATTACTCTAAGAAACTGCTCTGGAGAAGCAGGTTTTCAGCACAGTTTTGTATCTTGTCAGAACAAAGAACATTAAACAAGTCAGGGATACATTTCTTCAAGGTTTCAAAAAAACACCAATGCATACACATACAGCACATACAGTAATGGCCTTGGCACCTGGGAAGGGAGTCTTATCATCAAAGGAGGACCAGCATTGGTGTCCCAGGAAGAGGAGCATTTAATCTTTATTTTTATTTTTTTTTTAATCTTTATTTTTAAAATGGACATTCTTTACATCTGGTCAATGTGCCCTTTTCTTTAATAATTAAAGCAGATGTACAGGGCTTCCCTGGTGGTGCAGTGGTAAGAATCCGCCTGCCAATGCAGGGGACACGGGTTCAAGCCCTGGTCCAGGAAGATTCCACATGTCGCGGAGCAACTAAGCCTGTGTGCCACAGCTACTGAGCCTGCGCTCTAGGGCCCACGAGCCACAACTACTAAGCACACGTGCCACAACTACTGAAGCCCTTGCACCTAGAGCCTGTGCTCCACAACAAGAGAAGCCACCGCAATGAGAAGCCCACACACCACAACGAAGAGTAGCCCCCGCTTGCTGCAACTAAAGAATGCCCGCGCACAGCAACAAAGACCCAACGCAGCCAAAAATAAATAAATAAATAATTTAATTAAAAAAAATAAAACAGATGTACAAAGTAGGTTTGATAGGCCAGAAACAGGCTATTTTAGTTAGCATAAAATTCTAGTTAACTCATGTAGAAGCCAGAATGATTTCCCTATATCTCAATATGTAAAAATTTCTTTTATCACCTGCTATGTGCCAGGTGTTTGCAAGGCATTGGGGAGCAGCTATGACATGGTTGTAGCCCCCCGTCAACTGGGAGAGCACAAGCAAAAGGAAAATTGCAACAAAGAGTAACTGGAGGGCTTCCCTGGTGGCGCAGTTGTTGAGAGTCCACCTGCCAATGCAGGGGACACGGGTTCCTGCCCCGGTTCCGGGAAGACCCCACATGCCGCGGAGCGGCTGGGCCCGTGAGCCATGGCCGCTGAGCCTGCGCGTCCTGAGCCTGTGCTCTGCAACGGGAGAGGCCACAACAGTGAGAGGCCCGCGTACCACAAAAAAAAAAAAAAAAAAAAAAGAGTAACTGGAGCCCAAGGAGAAGGGAATAACTGATGAGGAGGTAAGCAGGAACCAAATCCAGAAAGCCTGGCAAGACCAATTAATAACTACCAACTACCACTGCTTGAACATGCGAGGCACTAGCCTAAACAATTAGTATACACTTATCTTCACTCTGGTACCTACTGTGTCACAGATGAGGAAACTGATACTTAGAACAATGAAATAACTTGCTCAAGGAATCCATAGTGATGGAGCCAGGATTCAATAGTCTATGAACACCTTGGATTTAACCACATTGCTAAGGGAAGGCCAGCAAAGGTCACAGTCAAATTCATTTTTTCCCCAAAAGTAATCCACAATCAAAATGAAATTTCTTGGTTGGTAGCAAACTGATATCATACGTCTATCATTTTGGTGCACAGTACACACATTGAAGAACTTATTTAATGGGCCCTAGCAATGAAGATGTGGTCATTAAATACCGGATTTTTTCCAACCTGCTTTTAAGAATCATCAATATGGTCTGCAAGAAGTGCATTTAAAATATCAGGGGGGAAAAAAAGCTGAAAGGCATTCAGATCCAGATACAAAGGCCCTGAAACCACCAAAGGGGAAACTGATCTGACCCGAACATACTACATATGGAAACCCTGGAATGGTTGCGATGCTCTCGGGAATATTCAATTACAAGGGAGACCCAGCACTGACCTTTTTACAAGGAGACAATCAACAGAAGACTGTATTTGATAAGAGGAATTCACTTCCTGTTAACAAGGCTTCTAACCCTGTACAAGCAAAAGGAGAAGGGAGGGCAAAGACCCCAGGTGGCTCTGAAGAGATAAACCCTGGTTCTTTAGGAGTCTGAAAAGAAAAAGAAAAAAACAAAACGGGAAAAAGGAGGTATTGTGTAGAAAGGCCATATGATCCACCCAGTTGTTAAATCCTTTGCTCCAAAGGGTTTGCTACAAGGGCTGAAGAAATGATAGAAATAAACCCGTAGAAACTTGACATTCTTTTCTTGCATATTTATTGCGTTTCTTCTGCAAACACTCACAACACATAGTGATATTAAAGAGTGCCTACTAATTCAGATTTTACTTCCTGGGTGGCTTTCTGGACTATCCATCCCTGTATTCAACCTACCTCAAGCCCCTCTCCCTGGTCCCCACGTACCACAGCAGAATGAAGGGCTGCCCTTTATTCGGTGCTCTCATAACCTCATATGCAGTATCTCTGTTATGGCACTGGATGGAAATCGTCTCCACCACTAGATTCTAACTTGTCCCTGTCCTCAGCATTTTAGCAGATGTAGCTGCTCAGAAAATGTTGACTGAATTAATGAAACGCTTCCATACATTTATAAATAGTGCTTTCTACTGTACTAGGTCTCTGTGGTCATTTTTGGCCCAGGAGCTCCTCAAGGGCAACGTCATGTCTTATCCATCTTATCTCCATTGCCTCGCATGGTGCCTAACAGTTCCTAGCAGACAGTAGGTGCTCAGCAAAAGTTTGAAGGGTTAATTAAGCACAAAATTTCTCAACATATGACACGGTAGGAAGGAGGCAAGAGAGTAGCAAACAGGGTTACTGATGGAGGAACACTTGTGAATTAGTGACACAGTCTTTTTCAGTTTATGAGCGTGAGTGATGGGAACTGACGGATTTCTGGCAAAGTACAAATTTAGCTTTCACGTTTCTGGCTGGGGGTAATTTCTCACAAGCCGTAAGAAGGGGGCTAACACGAACCATATACGGGTGCTTCACATTTAAAACCCCAGAACAAATCCATGAGGCAGGTATAATCCCCGTTGTACAGAAGAGGAAACAGGCCCAGAATGGTTTATTTCTTGCCTGAGCCCACCTGAGCGGTCAGCGCCAGGCCCAGACTCCACCGCAGGTTCCCGGGCCCGGCCCAGCGGTCTTTTCCTCCTCCTGGGTGGCCTCTGACTCTTTCACGTCTAGCTGGGCGACTCCTGAGGAGGAGAAGGAGGAAAGAAGCTGGGGGCGGGGGTGAGATGCTTTGGGCATACAGGAGCCACAGGGTTCAGGACGCAGAGCACAAAAGCAACGAAGTGCCCCCGTAGGGCCTAGCACACCCACTCGCGCGCATTCGCCGGCATCGGTAAGCTTGACCCTTCTGGGCTTCCGTAGTTCGTAACAAACTGGATATCTCTAGATGGGGAAGGATAAATATTTTGAAATTCAAATCATGTTTCCGGATTTGAGCACTGAGACAGCAAAGCCTAACCCTCCGTACGTTCTCACGAACTAAAACTGCGAAGACAACACACCCTCTCCTCTTCACAAAAGGAAATCCCCCCCTCCTCCGGCGAACCGAGGCCGGAAGTTCCGGTGGGCTTGACGTCACTACCGCCCAGTTTCTGGGCGGTGCTAAGATGGACGCTCTACAGGCTCGGGAGAGACTCCGGCGGAGATACCTGTTCCCGCGGGACGTGGTGGTCCAGCAGGACCGCGAGGGCTACGCCGGGCCGGGTGAGGCACCCGCCGTGGCGCGCTCCGAGTCGCGCAGAGGTTCCCAGAGGCGAGGCGCCGGACACGGCCGGCCCCGCGGGCCTCTCGCAGCCCTACCCAGTCAGGAGGGACAGGGTTTCGTTTTTTCAAGGCTTACCAAGTAGTTTTGCAAGTCGGGTATTTACTGTCGTAAAAGACCCTTAGAGATCAGGTAGCCCTGCGCATCTTGGTCTTCAGGATTCCCAGGAGAGCTGGTTTAACACCTGTTTGGCCATATCCATTAAAATAAAAAATATCCACAGATTGTATTTCTAAGAACCTAACAAAGGAGCGCACTCGTAGCAGTACACAAGGGCGTGTGTGCCAAGTCTTTCATCTCAGCTTTGCTTGTAATAGCGAACGACTGGAAACATCTAATTGTCCGTCAGCAGGGAGCTGGTTAAATACACTTGGCTGTTTATACATGACACAGCAGGCAGACTTTTATGAACCAATGTGGATGCTTTTCAAAGGGAGGCGCAGAACAACGTATGGTATGCCACCATTTGTGTTCAAACCAGATAACATGCGGTGTGTGTTCACCTGTAGATGCATAGAATATGCAAGAATTCAGTAGACGTTATTACTGGTAGCTGCTTTGGGGCTGGGGAACTGGGGTTAAGGATAAAGAGAGTGATTTCACCTTAGATCTTTTTGTCCTGTATGTTGTAAATCTTGTGTATTTATTACTTTTAAAAAGTAAACGCAGAAAACAACATGTGCAGGCATGCTGGTTTATAAATTTTGAGAGTGTCTCGCAGAATTTCTATTATGAATAAGCTTCCCAGGAATTCTGATGATCAGCTAAAAGCTCGGGAACCTTGGCTACATACTAGTGGTTCTCACATGAACTGATAGAGAGGGCATGTCAGTCACATGGGGAACTTGTTAGACCCCATTTGACCCATTCTTTCAGATTGGGTCCCAAATGGAAGGAATTTGACTTGTCCATCACCTGTCTAAGACAAGTACCATGTTGGGACTGGACCTCCAGTGTGCCCTTTCCACTTTTGAGCTGCCCCAAAAGGTTGTGTTTGTTTAAAAAATTAAAATATGTAGTTGTAAGTAGTGCTTTTGGAAAATCAAGTCCATTTTGTGTTCTAATGTTTGCCACTTGCATTTTTCTTAATTAACAGGACTAATGACTTTCCTAGACTACATGTGAAGCATAGCATTAAAATTCCTATACTACCAGATGGCATTATTCTTTCCAAAAGACTATATAAATAAATTTGGTTGCAAAACTCATTTAGCAGCAAAACAAGTTGACTATATTGGACAGGTTTTATGGCAGGCTCCTATTAATTATTTCTAAAAATATAAACCTATTTTGGTGGTTTTACAGAAGAAATTGGTACTATAATGGGAGAGAATGTGGTTCTTAGAAAGCTCTAGGAAATTATTTTATTTGACTTAAAATAGGTGTAATTTAAAAAAAAAAAAAGGAATTCCCTGGCAGTCCAGTAGTTAGGACTCTGCGCTTTCACTGCCGAGGGAGCAGGTTCAGCCCCTGGTCGGGGAACTAAGATCCTGTAAGCAGCACGGCGTGGCCAAAAAAAAGGTATAATTTTTCCTGTGACGTTAATGGTTACTTCAGAAGTTGAACTCTCTGTTATTTGCAGAAACCTCTACACCTGTTGAGAAAAAGGAGAAACCTCTTCCAAGACTTAATATCCATTCTGGATTCTGGATTTTGGCATCCATTGCTGTGACCTATTACGTTGATTTCTTTCAAACCGTTAAAGAAAACTTTCACACCAGCAGGTAAGAAAACTTTATTGCTTCGTAAGTTAAACACACTTGTTTTATTTTTCACGTTTTGTGAGCCGACTTCTTCAAACGCTTAGTAGGCGCCTACTTTCTGCCGGGCATGGTGTTGGAGGTGCTGGTGACGCAGAGTTGAAAAAGAGAGTGTGTGTTCTGGGCACGTACCGCAGAGTGGGTGAGGCTGGAAATTATTTCAGTGGGCTTTCTCAGCACAGGTGTTTTGTAGGATGAGGACGGTAGTGAATTTAAGAAGGACCTAATCCATTTGTAAACCACGCAGAGAGAATGACTGAAGGTCTTTAATAAGATCAAGTACAAGAGCATTGGGAGGAGGGAATGAGAATTGTGGTGGGTGGGAATTGGGTCTCAGAGCTTGTTTTCAGAGAATAGTTACAGCCAACAAGGTAACCACATGTACAGGCTGTGATTGAATTAGAGTTGAGGTCACTGGTGGGAGGAGTCAGGAGCTTTGAGGCAGGATGTCAAATAGTCCATCGTTCATGAGGATTGAAATCTCTTTAGTATAAAATCTAGGAGTTGACATGGAGGGGAAGGTTGTTCATCACACTCCTGAGTCCTCACTGGGCATTGGAGAGTGTTCTGGAGGCCCCTAGATAACAGAAAAAGAGGGAGACGTGTTGGTGAGCATCGGAGCTGGCATCGAGAGGGGTGATTTGCTTAAAGTGCGAGTGTAATTGTTTGGAAGTACCAGCAGGGCTAGAAAGATGCAGACGGGACTGTTTGATCTGGTGATATCGTTGGGGGTTGGGGAACACACAGTCTCTCCCGCAGAGGCCCTTAGGAAGAGCAGTGACTGCTGGAGGGGCACCTGAGGAGAGTGAGGGAGCAGGTGGTCCGGGGAAAGCAGGCGGGGGGGGGGGGGGGGTGTTATGTAAACTATAGCAGGGAGAGAGCTTGTTCGCCTTCCTTATTTCCACAAGCAGGAGCTTTCCCTAAACACTCCCATCTTGTGGCCCTTCCCCTCACTGGCTTCTCCCCTGGGAGGTGCTAGACCTCCTGATAGGGTTTGGGATGAAGAACCAGGCGTGTAGCTCAGCACCTTCTTCCTCTTGGGAGCCAGCTGCCCATGAGAAGCACAGATTCTGGGCTGCTTTTCTGCACCATTGTTTTATGGGGCGACCCTGACATGAGAAGGTCTTTAGGTTTTCACTGTGACTTGAAACCCAGTGGGTAAGTCTGTCTCTTTCTGGGTTTCAGTGTGAGGAAGCACGTTGTCACCATTCACCAAAGCTATCTTCTTTTCGTAGCTCTATCAGTAAAGAAGCTGACAGTTGGTCTTTATCAGTTTGGTTTCTTTGTGTCTTTCAATTGGTCTAGAACTTGGGCTGGGAAAAGAAGCAATGGTTGTTTCAGACACCATCAGTAGCACCTGCTGCTTTGTTCATGAAATATCTCATGAGAGCCTGAGATGTATCCAGTTATGGTCACAGTGATGAACAAGGCACATTTCTCACCCTCCACCAGCTCATTTTAGGCTGTGATAGATGAGTAAGTCATGTGGTGCGTACTGTTTGCGTGTGCGAGGGTATGTGCAGGATGCCGTGAATGCACCTAGAAGGGGCACCCAGTCCAGCCCAGCCTCAGGAGGTAGGCCTTTTTGAGGTTTCAGGAGAGATGACAGGATTTATCCATTTGTGTCCTATGTATCCTCGTATATGAGAATACTAAGTATTCTTAGTAGTTAAAGGAGATGGTGAGGTAAGGAATAACTCACTACACTGTAAGGTGTTTGGGGGCACCCACAGGAGTAGCGGCACACAGTAGCCCACCGGTGGTGTGTGACAGAGCCTGGACTCAGCCTCCGGACCAGGACTGGGGGGCATGAAAAGAAAGTGGGAGTCATAGGGCTGTCCTCAAAGAAGTGTCATCTTAGAGGAAAAGAGACAGAAACGCATGGCCGAAGGCTGAGGATTTTGAGCAGAGTCGTGTTGCTTTCTTGCTGAGGCCTCGGTAAGCAGCGGGGAGTTGGGGCAGCTGTGGCGGGAGGGCGCTACCCAGAGGCAGTCCGTGCAGGCTGCCTTCTGCTTTCTCGAAAAGGGTTCATTCCTCTGATTTTCCAAATCTGGCCTCCTCCCATGACCAGCAGGGACTGGAAGGAAGGGGCTGATGAGCTTTTTCTCACACACACTGAGCCAAGTCTTCTGTGGAGTTGGAAGGAGCAAAAAGCCATTGGCCCTTGTGGGAGGACTGGAGATATTCTAGGAACAGGAGGGTTTCATTTAGAAATCTTTTACGAGAGGCGATAAGAATTAACTCCTTCCAAATTGATATTCAGTATTTCAGGAAACCCAGCTTAACTTGGAGGAGTTGATGGTATCTGTTGAAATCTTTATTAGTCTCACGCTCAAAACTTCAGAAACAACCAGAAAGCCGCTCGCTTTCCTGTATGTTTAAAGAAAACGTCCTTTTTTGTCAGTTAGTTTATGAAAGTGTGTGTGTGTGTGTGTGTGTGTGTGTGTGTGTGTGTGTGTTTAAAGTCTTACTTTTTCATCCTTTCATGTGTCTCACTCTCATCTTTACCTACCCATCTCCTATTAGATCTAGACTTTCTGCAAGCTGGGATTGAGTAACTGTGGGTCCCTCTGCCCCTTCTCCAGTTGATATTCTTCTTAGAAATAGATATTTAGTCTATTAATGTTAAGATACCTGATTTGTTAAGTGCTGTCAATTAGCACTTTTTTTTTTAAACCACTTTATTTTTGTGTACATATTTGCTTAACAATCACTGAATTTCTAGTCAGCTTCAGGTATCTGAAGAGCCTTTAAAAGTAGTTTATATTGTCTAGACCCAAGGTATGCTGCACACAGTCTGGAACAAAATTGCAAATAACATCTTTCTTAAGATAGTCATAGAAATTCTGATTCAGTAAGTTAAGATGCTTCCTTTCTCTAGTGGCAGGGCTGAGTCATACCTGGCTGGTAGGCCCTGTGTTATGGGACAGGACTCAAAATTCAAATCACCTGTATTCAAAGGTAAACTTACAAAACCTTTGTCAGATACATGCACTGTCAAAAATGGGATCACTGCCATTGGTATGGTAAGCCAGCAACGCTATGAGCCTATGTCACATTTCAGATGTGTCAAAAAAGATTATTTACTATTAGGCTGCAGAGGATGTAAAAGAGGATAATAGAAGGGTATTATTTTTGTCTCTACAGTTGGTTTCTGTTTGGCGGTACCTTGTTGCTTGTTAGCTTATCGATTGCATTTTACTGCATAGTCTATCTGGAATGGTATTGTGGAATTGAAGATTATGATATCAAGTATCCAACGTTGATACCTATTACAACTGCTACTTTTATTGTAGCAGGAATTTGGTAAGTTACCTTTGGAATGAAAATTTGTTTGATCAGGTAATGATGTACATGGTACAAAATTCAAGAGGGAAAAAAAAGGGAATGATGGGAAAACAGTCTTCTTGATTCCCTTTTCAGTAGTGTCTTTCTTTACTTACATATTTAGTTATTTAAAATACAAATGGTGACATGCTATATATATATATATATATATATATATATATATTGCATTTTGCTTTCTAAATCATTTTCATTGTGAAGTATAATGCAGACAGAAAAGTGGAAGAATCTAAAATATACAGCTGAATTATCATGCAGTGAGCCTTGGTGTAAACCCTAACGAGAAAGATCTGTGCCGGCCCCCTCTAACCCCTTCCATGCCCCCTCCCAGTCACTGTACCTTCATTCCTGCCTGCAGGTAAACACTGTCCCCACCTTCATGGTAACTGCTTTCTTTTGCATCTCTTATAGAAATGGGTTCATATAGTATGTATTCTTTTACTTTTGACTGTTTACATGCAATATTATGTATGATTTGTCCATATTGTGCATAACAGTTGCTCGTTTTCATTGCTGTTCAGCATTCCATCTTATAACCAACTCCCAGTTTATCTGTTCTGTTGTTGATCGCATTTGGATTGTTTCCAGTTTGGGGTTATCATGAGGGATGCTGTTAAGAACATTCTTGTGTATGTCTTGTGTGCCTGCGCGTGCTTCTGTTGGATGTATATGTACATGCATACATATATACATATCTCTAGAAGGGAAATCATTGGCTCATTGGGTATGCATACCTCCAACTCTAGTAAATAGTGCCAAACTGTTTTCCAGAGTGATCTTTTTTTTTTTTTAAATTGAGTTTGGAATTCTTCCATACCAGTACATACAGATGTGTCTCATTCTTTTTAACAGTTACATCATTATCACTGCATGGACATATCATGATTTATTTAACCAGCTCCCTGTTTTTTTATTCTTTCGCTGTTATAAATAATGCCACAATTAACATCATTTTTCATAAGCTAAGAGGTTCTCAATGAAAAGTTTTTTTTATGTTTATAAAAGTATTTTATAACTTGCTCATTAAAGAAAAATCTGTAAATTACAGAAAAACACAAAGGAAGTAAATCCCATGATCCTGCCAACCAGAGAGAAAACTACACTGAACATTGTGTATGGGCTTTTAGGTTTTTTCCCTCTCTTTATATTAATTGCATTTTAATTTGGGGAAAACCACACACCTTTGTACATATTCAGTTTAAATGTATTTTTTCTATTATGTATTTTCTGTAGTTGAAGTTTATGGGTGTTTGACATATGTTGCATTGTGATGCAGTTTTTTATTAACCCTTCGGTGACGAGTGTAGACAGTTGTCTTATTTTACAATTTCTTATAAGGCTAATGTCACCCCCGGAAATATTATTGTATGTTTTAGAACAGTAGGATTATAGCTATTTAAATGTCTACTTCTCAAAATATTATGTTAGTCATTAATTATCTGAAACACTTATTTAATTGACTATAATTTTCCTTTATTAACTTCTGCTGTTAAAAATTCAGTTCATAAAAATCATTGCACTTAGAAAGTGTGTTATTCTTACCTGGTGACAGGAATAGTATTTTTCTCAATGGAAAGTTTAATAGCAGCTTATAAATGATTACTTTTTCATTCTGTTTCTAACAGAAAAATACTTTAACCGTCTATTTTTTTTTTTTTTTACCATTATAGTTTGGTAGTGTGTGAGATAGTAAAAGCAGGCTGTAGTCATTTTATTTCGTGTTCCTTTACAGATACTAATGTTAAGAGACTGAAGTCTCTGTTAAGCCAGGCCAGCTCTTGTTAGAGGAGCTTTAGTGATTCCAGTTCTGAGTACTTCGTGAAGAAATTGTGATATTTCCAATATTGGCTAAGTCACATATCTGAGAAACATGATTTATATATAGAAAGTTACTGGCTGAATGAACTTTCCCAAACCGGGTAAAAGTGAGTCCTTTAAATCTAGATTCTGCAGTAGAATATAGTTGTGTAGAGTATAGCTATAGTTGTGAACTGTGTGGCTATTTTGTCCTTTTCTTTTCAGCTTCAATGTTGCTTTATGGCATGTGTGGTCATTTTTCACTCCACTGCTGTTGTTTACCCAGTTTATGGGGGTTGTAATGTTGATCTCACTCCTTGGATGATTTCTAAAGGTAAGATTTCTGGAATGGTATTTCTAATAATGAATGCATTTGAAAAAGTCTTTCATGATAATTTTCAGTGGACATAGCAGTAACGGACTAGTAAATTATTTCAGTCATGTTTACACGAGAGTTGTTCATCCATTGAACTCTGAGGTAGAAGGGACTGTGATCCCTTTCCATTTGCATAATTTAGTTCTAAGTGACTACTTTTTAGAGAAGGCACCCTGACCTTCCAAGATCTCATGAAGAGAGTATTTGCACCTTCCAATATGGATAAGTTCACACATTGATTCATTTTCTATCGCAGTAAACTTCCATCTACTTCTATACTGATGACTATTGGCTAGATCGTTCTTAGTTAATGGGAATATGGGAAGAATGGGCAATTTTACCCAGTTGAGAAGAAAAATCTGTTTTCTAACTGTCCTGGCTGCCTCATAAAAATCTGATGGATGGCACACCAGCCTTTCCCTTCCATGTTATTTATAGAATTTCTGCTTCCCCAGAGACCACTGTGTCCCTGGGCCTGCTGCCTTCACAGTGGGGTCTATTTGCTAATTGTCAGATAACTCATTTATTGAATAAGTATGTGTTCAGAGTACTCACTGTACATGCTTAGGGACATGGTGAAAAAGACAGACGGTCCCTCTCTTCATGTTGCTTACGTTAGAACTTGGAGAAAATCTATTCCATATGTCAGTTTACTTACTTGTAAACTTGAAAACTGAGACCCAGAGAAGTAAACTTGGAAAACTGAGGCCCAGAGAAGAAAAAGTTAATGCACTCAATTATTGGGGTGCAAAAGAAAACTGACATTTCAGCTCACAGACAGCATGTTCTCCCTTTGGAGTTTTAAAGGAAAGTCCCTATAACCAGGTAAAGAAGAAATGGATGTCCTCTCATTGTTGCTAGTCTGAAAATAGCTGCTAGCACACACATGCTGATGTGCAGAGTCCCCTCCACACGTTGTGCTGTGTCTAGGACCGTTTGGACTCTCACAGTATGTCCTCTGTCCCTGTTGACCTGTCGCCACAAGAACATTCCCTCATCTGACCCTGTCTGCTTTGAATCTCTGGCTGTTCCGTATTGAGTTTTTCCACGTGTTCAGGAGCTTTTGACTTACTGCCGACATCAACGTTTAATTGGTAACAGAGAGCCAGAGAATGTTGTAGGCAGGGAGATTGAACTGTGCTTTTTAATATTAAATCCAACAGCCTGAGATAGAATGTCTCGCTTGGGTTTTCTTTCAGGTGTAAGGGCATGTCAGTTTAAAGTGAATGATTAATATCCTGCTAGCTGAAAGCACCGCAGACATAATGGAAAAGCTACAGTGTGTTTTTGCATCTATGAAGTGAATGGTTTCCTTGGAAGAATTGTAACTTTATAGCTCTGTAGTTGAAATCAGAATAAATTATATTTCATTTGTATATTCCTAAACTCATTATCGAATTTTTCAGATTCAAAGTAGAAATATTCTATTCAAGACAGAAATAACTAATTTGCAGTGTTAATCTGTTTGGATCATTGGAGAAATTGTTGGTGTAAAAATTTAAATGAATTTTCATTAGAGATGCATAATGTACTCCCGATAGTTCAGAGAAGTTGTTCACTCTTCCATTTAAGGGTGAGCAGTTCAGTGTTTGAGATGACTGGCTGTGTATATAAAGGAATGATAGTGTCATGTGCCTTTAACCCAACTTCAGCAATTCCTAATAATACCGTTTTTATAATAGCTTTGTAAGGAGGAGGACCAGTTGAAAGGATTTTGTGTTTTCCCATCACTTAAGATTTATCACTGTGTAAATTACTGGGTTTTTAGCATTTGTTTAACATATGAACTTTTAATCATCTTAAGTACGTGTAATTTTTTTCTTAATATTTAAATAAAGTATTTCTATAACTTTCTTGTGGGTTTTGTTAATACAAACTTTGGAATTGTTTCTGTCTTCAGCTATTAGCACTTTCACTATAGAAATAAGGCTTCTTTTTAGAGAAGGCTACTCTGCTTTTCAAAGACCAATGGAAGACAGTATTTGCACTTTCAGATGCAAATATGTTTACATTAAACCTAAACATCGTAAGCATTGTGACATTTTAAGTACCTTATGTTGGTTTCTGCGCTCCCCACCCACAAGGGACTTCAGGTGATGATATGTTTCAGTCAACACTTGTGTCTGGCTCGGATCACACCCTGCAGTAGTAGTTAATCTTGACCTTGAGCAGCAGTTAGTCTTTCTCCAGCTGTGAGGCAGGAACATTATCTGTGTTGTTGGGTTGTGGGTGATAAGAATAATGTTTATGAGACACCTACTACAGTGCCTGGCACACAGTAGGTGCTCACTCAATAAATGGTAATGGAGAGGGAATGAAAGACAAAGTAGATCAAAGAGAGGAATGGGAAGAGGCAGGCATGATCGGTAAACAGAATCAAGCTCAGTTGGTGTACATATGCGTGTGAGGGTGTGTAGAGAGAGTCATTTAAAGTAAGGAGCAAAGTCAGGCGAAGGTCAGAATCAGGTGGCCAAGTCAGTCAGTTATGTGAGGGTCCAGTGTAAGGCGGAGGTTGCAAACCCAGGAAGTAGGATTAGAGGGAGCACTGATTCAGACCCTCTGGAGGGAACTTGGTGCGGGGCAAGGGACGTACCCCCCGTGACAACTCCCACAGAGTCTTTGGGCAGATTCTGCAAGAAATCTTTCCTTCCCTCCCTCCCTTCCTTCCATTTTTCTTTTCTTGCAAAGTAGTTTTACTGTTGATACTTGGTTAGAAACCTAAGGCTGGGATTTTCTGTGTAATACAGTCATTAGAACCCAGTTAGCCAAGTGCTGATACTGTGGTATAGCTAGGGTGGTAAGGAGATGATCCTGTTACAAAGAGACATCTGAATAAATTTGTTTAAACAGGATCATGCCTGGTCCCTGTGCCCATTAAATAAGTGCTGTGCAGATTATTTGTGGGTCTTTTCCTATTGTTATAATTATTATTTTCTAAAATTTATTTATTTATTTATTTATTTTGGGCTGTGTTGGGTCTTCGTTTCTGTGCGAGGGCTTTCTCTAGTTGCGGCGAGCGGGCGCCACTCTTCATCGTGGTGCGCGGGCCTCTCGCTATCGCGTCCTCTTTCGTTGCGGAGCACAGGCTCCAGACGCGCAGGCTCAGTAGTTGTGGCTCACGGGCCCAGTTGCTCCGTGGCATGTGGGATCTTCCCAGACCAGGGCTCGAACCCGTGTCCCCTTTATTGGCAGGCAAATTCTCAACCATTGCGCTACCAGGGAAGCCCTTGTTATAATTATTAAATAAAAACTGTGTCAAGCAGTGTTGTTGCTGCTTCTAAACAAGCCTGTGGGAGGAGCATCCACTCAGAATAGTAACGAATAACGGAACTAACCGTTGTGAATGTTTAGCATGAAAGTCAGGGATATGGTAGAAGCAAGTGTGTGTTCTTAAAAATGTCCCTGACTGACAATCCCAAGTGTCAAGACCGAGTCTTCCACCCAGGTTGCACACTGGTTGCCTCAGGCCTGCTGCTCAGAGGTTCCCATTGCAGCTGGTGACAAGGCTGTCTTGTGAAGAGTCCTCCAGGTGATTCTAACGTTCAGCCTCGTTCCAGAACTATCCTGTTCCAATCACTTTGGGCAGAGATGTCTCTGCAGAAGCTAGAATGTTCGAATTGTCAGGGAACACAGAGATAGCAGAATCGAACTTAGCTCCCTAGGGTAAAAACCAGATTGAGGCTCTCTCCAAATCTGTGTCTGGGACCTAGCTTGGGAGGCAGTGGTCTTTCCAGGAGACTTTATAGCATTTAACATCCTGGCTGTCTCAGGGTTCTTTGGTTTTATACAACAATAACAAGAAAAGGTCTCTGGCTATGCTTAAGCAAAAGAGAAATACATTGGAAGGGAATCGAGGGAAAAGCTAAGAGCCACATCTTTATAAGTAGAATCATTTGGGGAGGTGGGGTGGGGTGGTCCTAGGTAATAGGGGTTAATAGATGCCCTCTTCCGTGGCCACAGTTAGGATAACTGCCCTTCACTTAAAAATTTTTAAAGACTTTAATTCAGCTCAGTGTTTCTTGAGGTGCGAAAGAGCTTGGTAGATTTTAAGAAATGTTTACATAGAATTCATAAAAATAAATAACAATCAGGAATATTTCGCATACACTAAGGACTAATTTGAAAGAAGCCAAATTTCAGGCTCCGGGTCAAGGGAAGATTGGGAGTTGAACAGAAGAGTAAATTATTCCTAAAAAGACCACAAAGATCTCTTCTAAGTCTCTCAGATTCAGTTTTGAAGTTGAGGAATGGGATTTTCCCAATTCGGCAGAAATGTAATGTGTAGCTATTTTATTTCTAAAGCAATGTGAGCAACTAGCTTTTGGTAGAGCTGTAGCTTTGGCAAACCTTATTATACCTCACTTTGGGTATATTCATGATGCCTTGAGATGCATCATTCCTATCCACATACAAATGTGTTGTACTATTTACCATCTTCAAACAAACACCCAAGATAGGGCTCCCTCAAGCTTCTCCAGTTATTAACCACTTTTTGGGTCCCCTTTACAGCAAAACTCCACCGAAGAATTCTCCAGGCTTATGATATCCAATTGTGTTCCTCATTAAAAAAAAATTGTATTAGGACGTATGGACGCAAAAGAGTGTGTGTAATGTTCCTTTATGTATAAAAATAGGGTCCAAAAGGATGTCAGGAACTTGGTCCCTCCCCAGCCCACACTCGGGTAGGAGTGGATCCTGGAGTTCACTCAGCTCACTGCTTCCCTTGCTCCTGTGCGCCCAGCCCGCAGCCTGATCCCCACTGTCTCTCAGGACCAGCAGGACTCCTTGTAATCCCTCCACCCCTGTCATGGTGCCGCCACAAAACCTGGGATTCCTTCTCATA